TGCAAGTGGGAGTTGTGCCCGAGGGCGGGAAAAACCGGGCAATGAAGGCGTTCCTCCGTGAGGAGACGCTGCCTGTCCCTCCCCTGGCTCCTCCGTCGTTGCCAGAACTGACGGAGCTGAAGAAAAAATTGGAAAACACATGTAAAGTTTATTGAAGGCAAGGAAAAATTCTGACTTCTAGAAATAGTTCAGGTAACTATTTTAAAGAAATCATGAAACATGGTATTATCCCGTCTGATCAATCTTTTGTGCTGAATATTCTGGTACCGTGGACACTGACTTTTTTTTTTTATGTGTTGCAGTAGTAGGAGAGATGCTGCTTCCCTCAGACTACAGTAGGATGTTGAGATCTTGTTTCCTAATATCTTTCATGTCTTCTCTATTTGTTTTCCTTTCCACCTCCTAAAACTCACAAAGCTGCAACAGATCATGTTTGAAAGATTATATGTGTGCATACTCCTACCAAGTAATAAACGAGATAATCTTAGATGACAAGCTTGGCAGAGTGCAGACATTTAAGGAATCGATAGAGGAAGGGTGTATGCTGGAAATACTTTGTGATAGGCTGAGATAGGTGGGGGGGCTGTCTTGCATCCTTTTTTTTTTTATTCTTTCTATTTTTTTTTTTTCTTTTACCGGAGAAATGGAGTAGGATTTTGTAAGAAAAGCATCATCTTGGTCATGGCCAAGATTCATGAAATCTAAATCCACCTTGAAGTAATTGATGTGTTCGAATTTTTAAGTTTTCACTAGAAACTGGCCCTTCTAGCCCCAGTGGTTGAGAACTTATGGAAATATATGTAATCCCTCCTCAGTTTGCTACATTTGAAGAATGTTGGGAAAACGGTGTGCTTCTGTGAGCTGTATAAGAATTTGGGCCTCAAGTATGCGCTTTGACACTTAAGTATTCACTTGCATCACTGTCTGCTCTTGCATAATGCTGCAAACCTGTATGCAAGTTTTTGTACTTACTTGTCAGATACAGGTGGTGATAGCGCCAATTTTGTAAGTAGTGCAGTGTATAAAAGACATTACGGTTTCTTTAAATTCAGGAGCTATATCTGAAGTTCTTGCTTACACTAAACTTGAAAGTCTTATAGGTTAATACCAGAAATATGGAAAATTCTCTCCTCTTTTTGTATATGAAGTTTTCTTTTCTTATTTTTTAAGAATAGGAAGGTCTGACTTGACTGTAGGGTAACCTTTCTTGGAAATAAAGACAGGTTTAAGTTGTCAAGGTTCATTCTGGCATGTGGATCTGTCCAGATGCAAATACAAGTTTATCTCTTTTGTTTTATTATGCTTTATTTTAAGAAATGCTGGACTCTTACTTTTGTAGTAGTACAATCACTTTTGTAGCAGTGTTGCTGAACAATTTTGTCAGATTTAATCACTTTGGAAATGGAGCTCTGTGGAGAAATCTCATATGCTTTTAGAAATAATGCTGGACTTTGGTTGGAAGGAAAATAATTTTGTTCAAGTGTTGGTGATTGACGCTGAGATAATATTCAGTGAGTAACTGTAAGAGGTGTAACACATGATTTGCTGTTTGAAGTGTCCTTTCTTGGAAAAGAAGCATAAATGGTGGGTGTTAGGTGATTATTAAGGACATAGGCAGTTTTTATGTTACTAATGAGTCAAATAAATTGCCAAGCCAAATTGTAAATCTTGTAATTATATTTTACCTCCCTAAAACCAGGAGACAGATTTGTACCATTTCTAGCTAAACCCAGGCTTTTTCATAAAAAACGTTAATTTGGATTTTTCTTCTCCTGTGGGCCCACGAAAGAAAAGAAAGCTGAATACTCAATTTCAGTCTCATTGTAATAAAAATGAAACAACTTACTCTTCCTTTTACTTTTGAAAATTTCACCTTTCTAAGTTTTCAGGACCTTAGATTTATAGCAGCTTTATTTTCTCACTTGTCTGCAAGTCATGTCATGTTGCCAGTAGAAATTGGCTTTCATGTACAGCCCTGCTGTATTTGTTTGCTTACATCTTAAGTAGTTCTGTGGTTTCCTTGCAGCCAGTGATGGATTACTATTAACAAGTGGGTTTATGTTTGTTTATTTGAGGGACAAGCACTTGTTTTTTTGTCTTTGTTTTTTAAATGAATAGGATTTTTTTCCACACTGTAAATAAAATTTAGCTGTTCATAGCAATGCTGCTTCAACAGTGGCAAATAGTGAAAAATGGGAATGTTTGGCTGTGCTGTTATTGGGCTAGAGTTTTTGAAGATTGATTTTGGTAGATCACAAACATTGTGGAGTTGTGCTGATAAAATATGTTTAGCTCTTGACCTCTCTGAAATTTGCCAAAAAAACACGCCAAATCTCTGTAATTTCTGATTTGTGAAGACTAAGACATTCTAGACATTCTAGAAAGACCACATTCTAGAAAGATGTGTGATGGTAGCATCTTCTCTTTGCTACCATCATGAAGCAAATTGGGATGGATCATTGAGAGGTAAAGATTTCTGGTTCACTACAGTCTCAGTTGTTGTAGTGATATTGATACAGTGACACATAATACGGGCCTCAGTAATAATGAGCCTAGACCTGAGAGAAGTCAATGACTGCAGACAGTGCCAATTTAAAAAATCACAAAAAAAAAAAAAAGAAAGAAAAAGAGTTTTGAGGGATTGTGTGAATAACACAGAAAGAGCAGAGGACACCGAGGAGCTGGATTCTGGCTGACGTGTCTGTCATTAGAATTGGGCCACTGCTTACAGTGGCTGCGTGCCATTGACCTCAACATCATGAACTTACTCTGTTTCTGTGACTGACATTGAAACTGCAGACTTATTCCTAATCTGCAAGTGGAGATCAGTTCAAGCATTTCAACAGTCATGACTTTACTGGTAAAAGAAAGGCACATCTTTAGCAGCAGTTTTGATCACAATAGAACTAACAGATACTTCATTCAATGTCTGTGAGTTATACTGTGTCACTTCTGTCATCCGATGCAGGTCTTTAATAGCATGGCTGTTAATTTCCCAATGCTTCCTAGATGTTTTTTGATTCACTAAGGATTTGTATCTCCTAAAGAGTGATGGGGGGAAAGGAAAGACTGTCCAAAGGGCCTCATGTTTCTCTTTCCTTGCTATTTCAGCCTTACTTGACTGTGTGGCTAGCATCTAATTTTCTGCACTGGAAGAGAAGAAAGAAACAGTAGTTGTTAACAAGTATCTTCATGCTACATTACACTGAAACAAATGTAGTACTTTCTCACATTAATACTTTCCTAATCTCACTTTGTCATATAGCTACGCTTTTTGTTGCCTCGAGAAAGAAATGTGTTCAGTTTTATGAGAATCATTCATAGGACGGTCTCCTAGAAAGTAATTTCTCTTATGACAGTGATTGAAAGAAGACTAAGAGGTTAGTAGGCAACAGTGAAATGACTTCATAACCCCCAGCACCTTTGTTTCAAAGAGCCCAGTTCAAAATGTTGAAAATGATATTACTCATGTACCAGAAGCCATGTTTTGTGCATGGATTAAAACTGTCATGACTTTAAACTTGAAAGTTTTGATTCTCCTGAGTGACACAATTGAGAGGGGAACATTTACAGTAATGGATGAGTCTGTCATTTCAGTGAATCTGTCATTACTTTTTCCTTTATTTTATATGGTGTGTTGTAGTGCATTCTAGTCTCGTAGTTTAAGTTACAGGTGGAGAATAATTTAATCTGAATTTTGTTATCCATAGATAAGCCATGTCAGTTCCAGCTGATGAAACTGTAGGGGACCTGCCTGTGAGAGATGTAGGTCTAACTCCAGCTGGAATTGAAGGATTACAAGGTTTGTACCAGCTGCTCTTTATTACAATTACAGGCTTTGATCAGTGGCTTCTTTAGTTTCTTTCTAAAAACGTTTCTGACATTCCCACTCATAAAATTAAGTTCAAATACCATTCAAAACCTGGGTTAAATTCTGAAAGGTACTATGACCCATTCTATGTTCATGTTGCTTGTTATAAGAGGGGGGCTGCTGTGAGATGCTAAAAACTGGAAATTTTATTGTGCTATAACATTCATCCTTCCAGAAGAAAGGAGGACTTGTTTTGCTGAACTGAGGACAAGGCTGGGCCCATTGAACAAAATGGGAACCAAAAGTACTATTGAATTCTGATACATTACTCAGCTGCTGTTACAATGGAAGTACTGGGCTTAGTCTTATATCTAAGTAAATACACATAATTGTGAGTTAATCTTGTCACGCTTCAAGAAAGTATGTTAACTTTGAAACTGATTAGAAAGCATCTTGTTGGTAATGATCATTTATTTTTTAAGTAGTATGTTTGACAGTGCCTTGTTTTTTGCTTGACTATTTCCTTTGTGCTATCTAGTTATATACTATCTGTTTACTGTATCATTTTTTTATTACTTTTTTCATCTGTAAGAAGGAGAAAAAAGGAGGTGTTAATATGCCAATATGACTGCAAAAGATAATTAACAGACTCATACAAGTGTAAAATATTGAATTACTTGAAAATTTTGTTTTTTCAGTATTTCAAAACAAGTTAGACTTTGGATTACATGTTGTTGAATATATTGAAGGTAATTTAAAGTTGTCTTGGTTTGGGTAGAATCAACTGCAAGGAATGTAAAAGCTCGACAAGCTGTATCACGAATCAGTCGAAAGGAACTGGAAGACAGGTTTCTTCGTATACGTGATGAGAACATCGTACTCAAACAGCATGCAAATAAGCAAGAGGACAAGATTAAAAGGTATGGGGCTTAGTACTTTTATTTTAGCTCACAGTAACATTTTTACTCTTTAAAGCATTACCAACAGATTAAAAATCATGCTGATTTCTCTCAGAGCACTTCTTAAAACAGTAGCATAAATCACTCATTGGAATTCATTTCTTATTCATCTCTGGTTGTCTCTGTGGTATGTGGAATATATGTTGCTGTGGACAATATTAGATCTCCATGTACAGAGGCACACCACTCTCCACCACTTCAGAGGTGGTACCTTGGGTTCATAGCTATACTGTCTCAGTACAAATATATCAGGTATTCTGGGAACTGAAGAAGAGGTTAAAGAAGCCTAATTATTCATCAGGAATTTCACCCTAGAATTAAAATCACCTATAAAGATATTCTGCCCCTTTTTTTGTTCTTCTCTATCCTCCAAGTTGCCTAGCATCTAACCTTTTATCATCTAGCTAACCCTAAAATATCTTTCTAATGGTGATCAACTCTCTTTTACTAAGGGTAATAGGTATTTGAGTCATTGAAGAAATCCCAAGTAGAAATCACAATATCCAGTGTGCCCAAACGTATGCAAGCAACATTAGTGTTGCTACTAAACTTCGTGCTCTGCTGGCAAACCAGTCCGGACTCAGCAGAGCTGTTCATGGTATCACTATATTCCAGGAGGACTCATTAATCCAAAAGCACCATGACTCTGTGTTCACATTGTGCTGCACTTAAGCTGATAAAATCTTGCTACATCTAAGCTAGCTTCTGGTCAGCAGCTAACAAATTCATGAATGGGTATCTGAAGATACTGCCTCTCTAGGTGGGGTATTTCATATTTCTCTAAAGTCCAAAACATTCTTTCCTTTTGACTTAGTATTCAGTATTGAATTGACCAGCATGACATAACTTGCATCTTTTCTGTCAAGCTACTGTCAAATATAAGAAAGCAGAATAAATGAATTGTTTGCTTATTCCAAATGGCATTTCATGTATTTCTGTTAGGTGACTTATCAAATGCACTCATCAGCCACTTAGGTAAAATTACACAGAATGTCCAAATTGAATACCTGAATTCATATTTTAAGGTACAGAAAACATAAACCACGGTGTTTGTCTAGACTGCCGGAGAAAAATTTTAACTCCTCAAGCTAAATTTCTTTCCCAGCATCCCTTATGCCAAAACCCTTGTAACTAAAAGTTTGGAATTAATTTGCAGTAGAGTACATTGAAAAAAAGAAATGAACAAAAAACCTGCTTACAGGCAAGTAACATTCTGTGACATCCTAAAGTTATTATGGATTTTTTTTGTTTCACTTTTGTTCTTTTAAGTAGAAGCTTCTGTCCACAAGTATACAAAAATAAAACAAGCCACTTTAAAGAAATGAAGTGTGTCCTTATTTTCAGTCTTCTTTCTGGGTCTGCAAAAATAGATTCCCTGTAAACTAGGTACAGGTCTTAAAGGTGTGTGACCAATTTTGTAAAGTCTTGAACTTGTCTTTCTCATCAAAGCCACCTTTTCTTTCTTTATATGCCAAGTTTTTTCCATTCACTCCTGGATATGTTTTCTGTTCTTGTATATTACATCACCCCCATGTGCCCTCTCTGCCTTTTGTTCTAGCTTACCAATGTTTATCAAAACTAAAGGAAATCAAAGGTACAACTCTTGAGATGCCAAAAGCAAAATTTGTATTCTTTTAAAGATAGATGAAAACCATACCTTCTGTATCTAATTATATTCTTCAGCTAACCATTCCTTCTCTGAAGCACATTGGTAATATTTACCAAGTATAAAATTGAGTGTGGTAATGAAAACTATTAAGTTTCTTTTTCTGGAGCACCATCCACCTATATATTTTAGCCACTTCAGAACTGAAATATATATTTAAATCCCCAAAATCTAGAAATTATATATCATTGGAATGTTGCATATTATTAGTGTTCTTTCAATAGTTGGGTGTTTTGTGGAATTGTAGCTTTTATAGTATGCCCTGCCACATCCCAAGTCTGTAACTTGCTTAACAGCATGCAGAGGTTCCTATATAAGGTCATGCGTTAAAAATTACATTTAAGCAGCATATGGAGTAAATATGTGTCCTCCCTTTACTAACCTTAAATGATAAGCCTTAGGAAACTGTTATTTGTCAGTGCTATAAAGCAGATTGCTGCACAGTGGTTTCAATTATCTTCAAAGAATTCTTCACAGGCAGTAATAGTTATATCAAAACCTGAAATTTATTATTCAGGTTCTATGCTGAATTCTTCACAGTGATTATGTTCCTTTCAACAGAGTGCTTTTTATGCTGACTTTTCACATTCTTTTTCATCTTGTTTTATTATTTTCCCCAGAATGGCCACCAAGTTAATACGGCTTGTTAATGATAAAAAAAGGTCTGAACAGGTTGGTGGCGGCCCCAAGCGGCTGGGCCAGGCAGTGGAGCTGGAAGAAATGATTGAGGATTTGCAAGAGAGAGTTCGTGAGCTGGAAAAACAAAACGAGAGCCTCCGCAGCAAACTCATTTCAACTAAACAGCAACTCCAGATTCAAGGCCATAGACCTTATCCATACAGCTATGTTCAATCTCGTGTTAACACTGGGCTCAAAAAAGTGAGTGAGGCTGCGGGCATGCCTGAGCACACAAAGAAAGGTATAATTCACATTTATTAAAAGCACTGGTTTAAATAGGTACCGCTAAACAGCATGTCACAGTAGAAAGTACGTACTCTTCTCTGTTCACCAGCAGGCAATAGTACCTGTAGGTAGAAAGATGTTTCTTTCCCCTTTTTCTTGTGTTTATTTATAGCAGTCATGATAACTTGTTTGCCATTTTGAGAATCCACAGTGATAGGGATAAAAGGACAGATTTGATAATAAAGTAGTTATCAAGCAAGTTTTCTAACAGTTAAATCATGGGGCTTTTTTAATATAACTTCTCTACATGTTCAAGGCTTATAAAAGAAGTGTATGAAAAACTTCAGTGTTATCATGTTATAACAAAGTTTTACATCTGTAGTTTGTTTGCACATGTTTTTCTTTTTTTAATTTCAAGGTTTGTTCTCGTCTCTTGATACATGTGTGCACAACACTGCAGACTTGAAAAATCTATTACATATGTGGACTTTTAAAAGCCAAATACCACTATGCAGCCATTTATAATGATACTTTTTGCTGTCAAGTCTTGCTGCTTAAGGCAGTCTAACTCTCAGTCCTTTATTTATAGTAGCTACATTTGGAAATTACACTTTAAAACTTTCCTATTTTCATATGAACATTTGTAGAAGTAGTTGTACTCAGTTAACTTACACAATGTACAGATAACATGTTCAAAAAAGAGTTCGATGGCCCTGATTCAGAGCTGAGTCAGTACAATAGTTGTCTTGACTTCTACAAGCTATGGATCAGATGGTCTGATCCGTAGCTATTATTGTGGTTTTAATCCATATCGCCCTCTCATTGGTCTTTATTTTGATTACATTGATGATTCAGGTACATGAAAACATAAACAATTCTCATGTTTTAGACAGGCCCTTTTGATTAATGATGATACCCAACATGAGATTGCTAGGTTTGCGTGCTTCTTGTCTTTAAAGATGGTTGTATTTTTAGAATCCTCTGTGAAACCTTAAGGTTGAATCTCAAAATATTTTTTAGTGCAGATCAGAAACTATTCAGAGCAATTATTAAAACATAAAATGCCTGGGTAAATTCAGGAAGGCTTAGCTGCCTCCAGGATACGAAGAGGCGAGAAGAGTCCACAAATGATAAATCCCCCTTACTGTATCTGCTTTGGTTTTGGCTGATTTACAAATACCGTAGCAATTTGATCCAAAAGGTGTGGTCAGGTATGAGTGTTCATTAAACACTCACTGGTTTCTCTCATAACTTTCTTTATTGAGTACAACCATCTAAGATAAATCTGAATTAACAGAATTAAAGAAAATACATATACTTAGGCATATATATACACATATATACATAGCGCAGTTACCAGTGCCTTAAAATAATACTTCAAGATCAAAATTTGAAATATATAAATCAATAAATAAAGCTAACCCAGCACAAATGCAACGTAGGAAATTTTTTTCAATCATTTTGTAAACCTGCTTGTATCATTGTACTTTGAAACTAAATGACTTCATTTTGGGAACTGAGGAATGGCAGTGTTAATGCTGTATTTGAAATTTAATGCATAGTTTGGTCCCCCCTCTAAACTTACTGAAGAAAGAGAAGTAGGAAAAAGAGATTTGGAGAAACCAGTGCTTTTGCTCCTGAACTAGTATTTCTTCTTTAAGTAATTTCTCACTTTTCTTCTTCACCAGGGACTGAGTATGCTTCTAAAGAACGTAACGAAATTATTTGCAGTGCTGATAAAAATGGTCCTTTAGTTGCTTGTCTAGGTGAATGACACTTGTGATTTTGTAAAGACAGCGCTACAGAGAAAAAATGATGACAAATGTTCCTGTTTAATAACATTGATATTGTTGTTCTTTGAAGACATCTTTCTTCTTTCTTTAAAACTAAAATCTTCTAAGAAAAAGCTTTCAAGACACGTTTTTAACACTTCTTAACAGTGCATGCTGTATCACCCATAGATGAAATCTCACAACAGCTGTGTTGTAGATACTCTGATTATCTCTTTCTATTTGAATTTGTTGTGAAAATACTTCCTATGGCATCTATATACAAGTTGTAAGTGTTTGTACTCTGTAGAGATTGTTGTTTTGTTAAATGCTTTTACATTCAGCATGTCAAAAATTTATCTTTTCTTTGTTTTTAGGAATGAGATTTCAGGATTTAGAAGTGAGATCACCTAACCTTGGGCTCCCGGAATATGGACCGAGTCAGCTTGAGTCTTCAAGGGCTGAAATAAGAGATTTGTACGCTTTTCATACTTCTTAATTTTCGTCATTATAACTGTTAATACTTGTGGTTTTCTTGAAGGAAAAAATTACATCTTTCAGAAGTTTTCACTTCAGAAAATAAAGTGAAGTTGTTGAATCTGACAACAGTAACACTGGTAACAATACAGAAGTGGGTTTTGATAAGGAAAACGTAGAATTAAAGATTTAGAATGCACAGTGCAGGTACATAGAATTTCGCTGGAAGTTAAAATTGATATTCAGTGGTGAGCCTCTCTTTTTGCTAGGATGCAATGCTGCCTGGCTTACCACTGGACAAAAGCAAGGGCAAGCTTAGCTACAGAATTATTACCAACATGACTTTTAAGCTGTGTGGGATAACCCAGGCAAGCACTGACTATTGAATGTGTTACACTAATGCATTTAAGCTCAGTTTCTAGAGGTGGTCAGACGTTATAGATAAGTTGCCAAAAGCGCACTATGGGATAGCAATGTAAAATGATTTTGATTCACTTTGGCATTTTGAAAGTTGGTTTGTAGTCCAGTTGCACATTTTAACTGAAATGGAAGCTCAGGAATCTCTTCATAACATCCTTAATGTAGAGACTGCATGAGAACAGAGGTGGTTACATGGTGGCAAAAAGGTAGTTAATATCGAATTTAAAGATACTGAGGTCTGATTAGAATATTTTTCTTGTCCAAAATATATCAGAACCTATTATGGTTTTTAGACATCTGTTTTTCTAAAGGCTGCCTTCAGTATGTGTGTTTCTTTCTATAATGATTTACCTGAATCAGATTGACAACAACATCCATAATTGCTAAATTTTCAGTAAGTGGGCAAGCTAAGTACACAGATCCATGAATTACTGTGCAATTCTGTGTTTTGTATGTGAAGTTTTGTAAACACAAAGATTTAGTGGCATCATAGGAAATAATTTTACAGAAATATTCTTATCAAATATTTCAATAAATTACTTAAAATCATTTAAGAATGTTTAAATTGCACTCTTGCTAGTATCCTGTTTGAATTTAACTTTTGCTGAACAGTTACATTATTTTTAAAATAATCTGCATTACAATAGGATGTTGTTATTGCAGAAAAAAAAAAGAAAGCTTCAGTAATTTAATAGTGATGGGCCTAGAAAGGGCTATTTCTCCTCACACCTATCGCTTCTTAGGATTTGGAAAATAAGAGCTATTCATTAATACTGCCACGAATCTCACTGCTCACAATAGCTTTTCTCCAAATACATTGTTTAATGCAGAAAAAGTCAAATAGCATCTTTTTCAGAGATTTCAGTTCTCACAAACATGCCAAAAATAACCATACCTGTTCGGAATGGTGCACTCAGATACAAAAGCAAACACCTGGCCGAAAAAGTCAAGGTGCTTTTAAGTCTATGTATACAAGGTAATGAAGAATTGTAGCTAATGCACCAAAAGCTTTAGAGTGGAAAAAATTGTATATTAGTTGTTGCTTATTCTTATTTAAAAAAATATTATTGGGAAAGTTAACTGAGATTACCTTGTCAAGAAAATCAAACTTGCGGCCTATTAAAAATATTCAGACTCTGATCTCTATCTTCTCTGATTTTCTTTTTTTTTGGTTGCATTTACTGGATAAGTTCCACTCTTAAAGACATATAATCTGATTTAATATTTTTCTGAGGGAGTGTAAAGTTACCTAACTCAGAATAAAAGTTTAAAAGTTATTTTCACTGCTCCATCTGTTGAAGATTTTGAAGATTGCATGTTCTTCTGATAGCTAGTAATGGTGTTTTCCTTTTCAGAAAACACTTAAAGGATTAGGAAGGAGATAAGTTTAATATAGAGTATAAGAAACCATGAATGATGTTTTCAGCTAAGTTCCACTGAATGTTATTCAGTCCACATGAACATTTATTTTGAGAGTTTGTGTTTGATAATGTGTTTGATTTAGGTCTCTATTTATTGTACTTTTCACATCTTTTTGTGGTGTGACCTCTAATTATTTTCATAGAAAGTTGAACTCTTACAGCCTCTGATGTTAAAAAATACTAATTTTGCTGAACACTTTTAAAATTTTTGCTTTCTCGAATATTTTTTTTTTCTTTTATTTAATACTTGCCTTCTTTTGTAATATAAGATACTTGTACTTGCAGGGAGACTGTGATTGAGTCCCAAAAGGAACGCATTGAGGGACTAGAGCGTGGCAGAGAGATACTTGTGAGTGAGCTAAAAAGGAAAGAAAAGGAAATTGAAGAATCCATCCTACGGCTGAAAGAGCAAGAAACAGCAAGCCAAAGGTATAGTGAAAAATGGAATCTCCATGGTGAAAGCATTAGAAGAGCTATGTCATAATATTTATATATAGCTGTGAAAATTTCTTGTTCTGCTAAGAAATAGGTGCTTTATTCATTTTTTTAACCCCCCTTTGGTGAAACTAAGTAATAAAATGTTTTACCAAATAGCCATGGATAAGTCTAATCAAGGAGATTGTTATGATAATAGGTTATGATGTATTTTCATAGAGAAGCAAATTCATAATTACCATTTTAGAGAATTAATTTCCAGCTGATTCAGATTCAGTTGAAGTTCAGCTCATTAAATTTTAATCATCTATTGTTTCTTCAATATATTCTTAGGAAATTTTAAATATAGGTTCTTGGTGAGTAATTTAATGTTCATTAATACTCATTGATAATCTGGACTGTACCAGTAGTAGAAACATAAAGGCCCAGTAGGGGTAGATTAGCAAATTTTGGAAGGAATATGGTATGGCTGTGCAGTGAAACAAAAGACAGACAAACATGCTTGTGGAATCAGTTTCACAATAAAGCTTCTATTAATTTAATACCTTTTCTTCTCTCTTCTTCCACTTTTGCAAAAATATATGCAAAATCATTCAACTTTGCATGTGTTTTCTCTCTTTTGACTGTTTCAGTTTCAGCCTGTTACTTTTAATTTTATGAACAATTTAATATGGCATGATCCTGCATTCCTTACTCATTTGGTTTTAGTTCTACTTGGATAAGAAATAAGTGGTCAGTTCTTAACTGTCTTTCAAGGAAGGGACCCCATTATTATGTGTGAGCATTCTTTTGTGCATCAGTGGCACTACATAAATAATACATCATAATGTTTGCTATTAAATTATTCACAAAGTCATAAGTCTCCCCTATTCAGAATTTCCTTTATACGGTTTAAATTGGTTAAAGAAGTTGTTATTATGAATAATTTCTCAGTATGTTCCTACAGTGAATTCGGAAAATATTTAAAAGATTTTTTTAATTATTTGAAAATAATCTGATACAAATCTCAAAGAACTTCTGTGCTTCATTCTTCTGTAGATAAACACTCTTCTTTAAGTACAGCAGACAGAAACTGGCATCTAAATTTAATGTCAACTACCATATTTCTGAGAAATTTTTAAGGACTTCTAAAGATGCACTTCAAAATTGGCTAAAAAAAAATATCTTTAAAGTCAGGCAAGAAAAAATAGTGCAGATCTTTATTTATTTATGTTTATCAAATTACTTGTATACAATCCATGACACTTGGCCTAACTTACTATCTTTGAATTCATATTTGAATTTCTGTAAGTACTTCCATTACAGTCCTTTTCTTGTTTGAAGTCTCATAGAAGATAGGTTAAGCCTTTAAGAGTTACTGTGTTTGGCTGAACACACTGGGAAAGAAGTTGAAAATTTTCCACTAGTGAATCACTAGAATAGTGTGCATTCTATAATTTTGCCACTGGAATACTTATGGAAGACTGCTTTTCCCCATGTTTTTCAAGTTGTATTTTTGTATGCTGAAAGAATGAGAGACATAACTTAGAGGGATACTATTGTCTCTAGGTTTAACTGCAACCGTAGGTACATATACATACTATCTTTGGGAGATTTTCATTAGCTTGCTTTCTTGGAAGTCTTGCAACTGCTTTCTAGAACAATCCATATTAGCTGTCTTATTGAACACATAAATTTATAGGTTCTATGGAATTCTTATTTTTAATCTTCTTTCCCTCAGCAGAGAAGAAACTGTCAATAGTAAAATACTGGAGGAAAAAATGGGAATTTGGTTGATTGATAAAGCCATCTTATTTTGTCTTTGTAGCTTATGTCTTTGAATTTTGGTACAATTTTCAACTCTCTTTTGTGTATCGTGAGACTACAGTTTGCTGTCATCTAGATATGTTACTATTTAAAGACGAATGATCTGTTTAAATTCTTTAGGGACTGTATATTGCCAAAAAGACATAATATATGTGTTTCCACCTATCTTCATGTTGTAGCACCATTTGATCTCAGCCTCGTGTTAACAAAATTAGGTTACTTTCAACATTTAGGAAAATATTCTTATTCTGCTACATAGGTAGGAAATTCTTGTGATTGAAATAACTGTAGTTTCCAAGCGGCAAAGCAGCCACAGTTAGTAATCGTTGATCCATCAGCAGTAAGGGAGGGAGATACTAGTTATCTTGAGTCCTCTACTCACAAGAAATACAGTAATATTTTAAAGCTGGTTTTTCAGCCTCACTACAATTTCTGTATGACAACACAAGAGGTACATAACAGAGCTGAGTTCATACGCAGTGTACTCCTTGAGATTATTATTGTAATGTGGCTGCAATCAATGTTTTTGTCAATATTTTGTTAAGAGATTGTTTGGGGATTATTTCAAGAATATGTAATTCTGATTTAATTCTGACTTAAGGGAGAAATTTGGCATGTGGCTTGTTAGTTTGAACACATTTTCTTAACTTTTTTTACAAAATTTAACTGCATTTAGCTTGACTGGTTTTAAATTAAAGATGGCTAAAACCATAAGAACATCATGATTTAAATTCTGTGATGCCCAGCGCACAAGTTAAAACATTACGTCTAAACAATCATATTTTGCAAGCAGCTAGCTTCAGATACCTTGATAGCTCATAGTACTTTCCAAAAACATTTTCAAATCCACCCAAAATGCATTTGTGAAACAGGTATTTGCTATTTGCATGTTTGTGCATGTTTTTATTTTGTGCGGTTGGGTTTTTTTAAGTGAAGAAACTTACCTGCTAGTCAGTTTTTAATTCCTTTGGCATTTTTTGCTGCAACATGACTTTGGAATCAAACCTGGTAAGTGCATGGATTTTTGGACAGGGGTATCATACTGACACACGACTTCTGTGTTAGCATTGCAGACCTAGATTAAAATGTGGAACATGTTAATCACAGTGCATTATCTAAAGAGTTTTGAGATAATACAGCATGTATATGAATTTGCTAAATCATCTCTAATAAACACACATGTCATAAAAAAACCCCTTATATTTGCATTTCCCTATCTGATTTTTCATATCTGACCAGTTTACCTAGAGATCATGACTTTTTTCATTTCTAGCTCATCAGCCAGGCAGACAAATATGGAATCTTATATTGGTATTTAAAAGAATCTTAGCTCCGATGCTAGAGCTATTGATGCAATGTTAATATTTTGGGGCTTTGCAAGTATAGTACATAAAGGTGGTACTAGAAGGTGAATATTGTTGGGCTTTTTTTCCCCTTTATGTTTGACTTCTTATAAGAAATAGGAGCTAAAGGAAAGAACAGAACATGTATCAACATATGATTGTGTTAGTAGTTCCTAAGCATCACAGAATGAGAGGATGTTCCATTCTTTACTTCTCTGCTTGGGGATCTGTGTATTTATCTTGACTACTGATGCATTGGTGATTGGGAACTCTTATCCTAGAAAACATTCGTTTATTTTTCCAGGCAGAGGGTAAGTGATCCTGAGAATTGCTAAGGTGATGTTTTTATACTTGCTTGCTTTTCTTGTTCTGAAGGTAAATGGGGAAAGTTTGCAAGTCACTGGTCCAGTTGATGAAATCACAGGACTCTTAAAGAGCAGTCTCAGTATTGTATCCATGTCCTGCTCATATGGAAGCAAAGACAAGATGCAAGGGATGTGGTTTAATTAGACCTCGATTTTATTAGCTTAGCCATCTGGGATTTACTGGCATAAATTTGTACAGTGCAGGTCAAGATCCTTTATTTAATCATTTTCTTCTGGTTTAGGTTGCTATCAGTCGCCCATTCCAACACAGCTGGTCCCCAGCATGTTACTGGAACCCCACTCTATATGCTTTTAATCCAAATGGTAAAAGGTCTGGAAAAGAGACTGTCTCTTTGGTATACTTCAGATATTAACCCCAAACATAATTCTTAGCTTTTTAATGCTTCTTTCTCCTAACTTCATTTCCAATTTCAAACTTTTTAATCCAGGTTTAAGATGAGGTTTAGAGTGGAAGGATAGAGTTCATGTTCCTTATTTCTGCGCTTGTGGTAGAAGGTGTGCTAGAGCTAAATCAGTATACCCATTAATTCAGGTTACTGCCTCGAAAGGGATATTGGTTCCTTTTTTAACTTCTGCTGCAGGTCTACCTCCATGTTTTTAGACTTGCAGAATTTTTGGCTTTTTTAGCAACAGAGAGAATATTGAATGTGCTGTCTTAGTCCAGCTTTATTCTTACACATTATTTTGTTATTCTTCGAGCAAAATAAAGGTAGCGTTGACCTTTATATCAAATCTGTATATAACCCCTATTTTTTAACAGAACAGCTGGGCAAATGTTCTGGGAGCAGAATAAATAAGTGACCTGGTAGGGAGAAAGCTGTGTAGATAATCAATTTCTTTTCTATTCTACTGTTTTGTGACTTCCTTTATAGAAAAATTAATCTTCCCAGCAGAATCTTCCTCAAATAACTTTGCCTTGCCCACAAAATCTGAAATTATTTTGTTCTTCAACAGCAACTTTTTTGTCATGGACCTAGATGCATCGGATATTTCTTAGACGTATTTTGATTAAATAAATAAATAATATATTGTAGAATTACTGTAGGAAGGTAATTGTTGCTGTAGCCTGCAATGAGATCTGAGACTGTGATTGATGTGGTGCACTAATAAGAAATTAATTGCACATGTTTTCTGTAGCTAGAAACTTCGTGAGATAAATACTTCTATAATTGTCAGAATTTAAATGATCCCAATAAAAAGTAATTCTTCACTTCTGAATTTGAATTGTTTATTTCATGATATCAGTACCCCAAATCTGTTTAAATCAAATGCTGTTTCATTCACTGTTGAAAAAATAGTTAATGTCAATTGTCAGAAGCCATGGGGTTTACATCTGTACGTCATAAATTTCACTATCATCTGCTTCTTTCTCTACTAAAAGGAGGAAAAAAAAAAAAACTGCTTAAAAAAGAAGGGGAGGGGGAGGGTGAGAGAAAAAGCCTTTGAAGGCATAAGAGCCTTTTGTTTGATGTGTGGAACAAGATTAATAAAAATGTGCCACTACATTAGCTTTTAAATAGCTAGCATGAGAGTGCTGCTGTCTATTCTCACCACAACTTTAATTTACATAGATAACATGTTTTAGACACATGATATTTAGTATTGTGTTAGGGCTGTTTCTTGGGTAAGATCTCAGGTTAGTGAGTGTGTTTATCTTCTGTGTAAGGACAATTAGCTGGGCAATGCCAAAACACAATAGGATTTGATATTTTACAGAATAAAAGGAAAGTATTTCATGTATTCAGCTGGTTTACAGATGTGTAAGCTTTGTAGTTCATTTTCTTCCTCCAGCATGGCATTGTGACAATTCATCCAATATGTCTAAAATAGATAAATATTGTAACAGAAATTACCTTTTCAAATGCTAAAGATTTATTCTGATTTTATCGTATTTTATTAATACAAATCAGAATTGGTTTCTCTTCCCGGACTTGAAGAAGCTGTGAAAATAATGGGGTTTAGTTTTCACTGTTTGAAGTAAGGGAAGGTATCTACATAAATATTTATTTAAATTTTGAATTATTTTAAACATCCTTTCAATTAAACAGTACTTTCTCAAATTAATCTTAGAATTGTAACAATATAGAACAGGTACATGGACATTCAGTGATTTTCATGTAGTTCAGACACACCTGCAGCTTGTTTGAGTGCCAACCTTAAGTTTTTGTTGTATAAATTACTAAGTCGCTTTTTCATAGCAGTATTTGATAGGTCTAAACTCAAATGGTAATCTACTGGCATAAAATGGTAACCTAGTGGCAGCAATTACTTTGGAAGGTGGAAAATGAGTGACTGTAAAACAAATAATCTCTTTAGGCATAGGATTGTTTTCCTGTCGTGTAGTTTGATACAATGACCAATGATGTATATATGTTAATTGGAGCTCTGTCGTTGTGTGGTAGAATGTTTATTTACCTAAAATCTGTAATGTGGATTATAGGAGGAGAAATTAATTTGGGTATTACACACTAATATTCTCTCAGATGTGTTGTGATTTGCGGAGGATTTCAACCTATCAAAACAAAAACAGTTAGATAATTTATTTTGTATCTTTAAGCTCATGATGAATTTCTTTTTAATACAATTTTGAAGGCTAAACATTCGGGACAATGTGGAAATGATCAAGATCCGTAAACAGCTGGTTGAGAAAAGCAATGCTCTTTCAGCAGCAGAAGGAAAATTTCTCCAGCTTCAAGAGGTAATTGCAATTTGGTCAGTGACATTCCTTTACTCTTGTCACATAAGCATGCATAAATGGAAAATAAATATACACAGTTCTTGACTCTGAGTCAATACTGCGTACATGAAAATGAACCACATAATTCATTGTACCCGAACTACTCCAAATGTTTAGAGATTCTTAGTAATAAATTTCATTTTTTGTTTCTTGCAGAAGGGTCTAGTAGGTCTTAAAGATGTTCTTCTGCAAAGCTATCCCAGGCAGTCTGTGGAGAATGAACTGAGTTGTCCGGCTATCAAAAGAGATTCCTGGACATTTGAAGAGAGGGCTTTGACTTAAATGTACTGATTTACCAAAGAAGGGGTACCAGACCCCCCCTCACTTTATCAGTCTTTGATAAAGTTGGAGAGGTTTGACTGATGAGAGTTCTGATGTTAGGGGTTAAATAAACTGTGCTTTTAAGTTCATGGCAATTTTTTGAGGGCTACTGTAAGTAATGTGTTTTCTTTCTAAAAGGAGAAGTTTTATGAAAATATCACCAGCACATGCAATTGCATGGTAGACTCCAGGTAGGCTTTAGTTATACAGCATTTTTCTGCTGCTTCTTATATGTATTTGGAGAACTTCATGTGCATACAGACAGAGGTAGTATGATAATGACTTGGAAATGGGAGAATCCTGTGGGTAGGAATCCTGTGTACAATAGAGCTTTCTAAAGTATCTTAGCCTTATGAGGTGAAAGCACTTAGATATCCTTGTAAACTCCTACTGCTGCCTGCTTCTCGTTATTGTAACATGCTAAGTAACACTTGTGCCATTAGACTTTTGTTCCGTTCCTTTTTCCCCTGTGTTTTTCTGTTTCCATGTTTTGCTTTGCTTCCTTCTCCTCTTCAGTGTAATACCTATATCTTCTCTGCCAGAGCAGCACTTCTGTTACTAGCTCAAATTTAATTTTTCGCAGGGTGGGCTATGTAGAATGAAATTCCAGGGGAGACAGGTTTCACGTGGTTTCTTACATTCTTAAATAGAAAGCAATAAGTAAATGTTCCATTTTAAATCATATGTGACTTTTTGGTAATTTACAGCAAACATCAAGTAGTTATGCCTCTTTCTTGGCAGCAGCTGAATAGAAACACATGCCTAGGATTCAAAGTGGTATTTGAAGATGTTGTTTCTAATATTCATAATGAAAGCTGCATTTTTGAACAGGATGAGTACATTTTCTGTCTCTATTTTTTTTTCCCAAGATAATGAATACAATGGTTGTCTGATTTCCAATCATTTAAATGTTTGAAACGTGTCTACTGTATTTGAATAATTGTAATATCCAAATTTTCTAGTTTAGAGGGTATGTACTTACAAACAGAACAGTTTTTAGTGGGTTTATGTTGATTATTTTTTGTGCCTATTGCATTCGTTGTCATTTACTTTCAGCTTGTACCGATTGAAGTGCATAGAATTCATCTATGTTCATCTTTGAATTTGAGTCAGCCCAAAATGTGAAACCACAGAATAAGAACCTAGAATCCTACTCCATCTAATGATACTGAAGTTGGTCTTGCTACCAAACATTTACAGGATATTTTGTTGATAAAGAATTTTAATGTAGCCAGTTGAATGAAGGAATTGTACAATCTGTTTAGAAGAACAAAGGACCCTGAAACTGTTTGGATTATATATTTGATCCCATTGGTGTGCTTGTTTCCTTCAATTACAGACTGAGCGTTCAGGATTTCATGGTGATTGGGTTTTCTGTGGGGGTTTTGTTTGTGTCTGAGATATTCATGCTGCATGTGAACCTAAACAATTTGTAAGGGTTCACATTCAGTTTCTTCATTTAACTACTTTGTAGGAATATTGTATGGAAAAAATGGAGCTAACTTTTTTCTGTCTACATCATTAAACATTATCTATACTCATACATATATATGACTTAAATTTTCATATGATCATTTTATTAAACAGGAGATTAGCTTTTGGGCTGTTTTGTTTCAAGTCATATTTTGAAAGTGATTTACATTTAAATTCTTAATGAATGAACCTTTATTAAAGCGTTGTGGAATGTAGGCAATATAATATTAACTAATATTCTGGAAATAGAGGTTCTATCAGCATCTTCCATTTAATATTAAAATTGGTTAAATGTGCCTTAATATAATCCATAGAAGTAAATTAAAATGTAAAAAAAAAAAAAAAAATAATCATAAGTCCCTCGTTAAATTAGTGCCAGCAGGGAAATAGAACTGAGCGCATTAGGATTATGAAACAATTACGTATCTACAATTAAGGGTTAACAGAGCTGTGGCAAGCTCTGTGATTAACACAACTGTGGTCAACATTCATTTTTGCTTGCTACTGCAGTGCTTTTGGTCAGCATGTCTAACCACTGTAACCACTGCAAAATCTTTTAATTGCTTAACAGATGTATTTCTTGGTTGTTTTCATCATGACTGAACTGAGGGCTTAATGTTCCTGAGAGCAACAAGAATGCCACCTTCTCCTGACCATATGTAATGAAAGTCGTTTTCAGTTATATAGTTCAAGAGTGTCTCCTATTGTCCATATTGAGAATACATTAAATACTGCCCTAAGAGACCATGGGTTGAATATGCAGTGTTGTAACATTCTAGTAAGGGTGATTTTTTTTTTTCTTTTCTTTTTTTTTTTTTTTTTAATGGGTTTTCCTTCCTTTCTTTTCAAAGAACGAGAAGAACTTGAAGGCCAGCTATGATGCCTTAATAGCAAAAGGTGATGAACTGAATCTACAGCTTAAAGAGGAGCAGTTAAAGTGCCTTCATCTTGAAAAAGAACTGCAATCAGTAACCATTTCAAACCAAAGGACAGAAGAGGTGAGATCGTCTTCAAGAGAGCTAGAATCTGCTTTAGGTACCACACAGACATAAGGGAGAAGTAACCATGGGATACCTTTTAGTTGTGGAGATATGAATAGACCTTGGGATAAAAACAACTTGTGGTTGCTGCTTGCGTTTCATAGAATCATTAACTGTACCTGGTCCCTATGCCACATAATCACTGGGGCAGTGGTTGGACAATATTTGAGGTTAAAGTGTAGGATTTCATGTCAATTCTGATACTAAACAAGTGGTTTGTTAACTGGAAAAAAATCATAATACTTGATTTATTGAACACATATTGCTAGTGTTTTAGTATTATTTCAGTCCAATTTAATTACAGTATAGTGTAGCATTACATCTTACTCAGCAGTTCAGTCAGTTCTGTGTCTTTGTCAAATGGCTCTGAGAGACTGGTGTCATCAGTAACAGTCACCCAGAGACAGGGCTAAAAATCAAGCGGTTCATTCCTCATTCTCTTCAACACAGGGGGAGTAAGAGTCTACAAACCTATTTGGGTTTTTCTTACATACTTGTTTTTTCTTTGTTGTAATGCACATAAGGTGTATCTTCTGGGGTAAAGCATCTTGTATTTTTAGAACCATACCCTGCTATAGCGAATATTCTGAAAGCAAGGATTTTTTGTTTCTATAAAGGCAATTAAGAAAATATTTGCTGTACAGAAGCCATTAACTAGCTAATATTAATACTCACTAAATTGGAGATAGAAATCTTTAATCTTATGGATTTTTTTATTTTTTTTCCTGAAGGCAGGATGTGATTATAGGTACTGTTGTTGAACTGGACGTGTTAGTCCCAGGTTCATATTAAAAGGACTGTCTGGGCCCAAGTAGATCCATGTGTTGAAAAAGCCTGACAAAATATTAACTATTTGTCTTTACAGCTTCATTGTAATTTCATTTTGTGCTGTGCATTTCTTGAAACTTTCTATTTCGTTTTAGTTACACGAAAGAATAAATGATCTAGAAAAAGAGAAGGAACTCTTGAGGGAAGACTATGATAAACTGTATAACACGTAAGTTATGGTTTCTGTATATGCAAAACTTGATTCCTGACGTGTTTAATAGGCCTTCATATACTGTGTGCTTGAATGTGCATACTGTGTGTTGTGAACACGTGTATATATTCATGCTACAGTTCATCATATCAGTAAGTGTATATGGAAACTTCTGTGGTTATCCATTTCATCTGTTCTGTTGAAAACAGCAACTTCCATATTTGCTCTAAGACTCTCTAAACAGTAAATTACTTCTTTTAAAAAAATCTAATTAAAAAATAAGTGGAAGTCTATTTTGAATATCAACACAAATATTTCTTATTTGAGTTTTTAATAACTTTTTTAGGGTTATTGTTGAAAGAAGAATACATCTAGGTAGTCATAAATTACTTTGGGTTTATTTATTTTATTTTTTTATTCTATTTTTGTGTAAGTTCTTGCAGCATTTCTTAGTGGACCTATATAAAGCCTGATATTTAATAGCTTTTCCAGTGTTTAATTTTGAGGGGTGGTTTGTTTGTTTTGGTAATAGCTAACATTTCACTTCTACTGCTTGTGCTTGAAAATTTTGTCTGAGCTTATGTGAGTTTTTACAAAGGTTCCTATACATAGTAAGTTGTATGAACTGAATCAGCAGTGCATACAATGCAGAATACATTGGCAGATATGATTCAGAAATTCTCTGCTACAGAAAAGAAGTAAGCAGTCAATTGCCACAAGCACATTGAAGGAAAAAATGACCTTCAAATGAACTTTTCCTTTATTGTGAAACCATGTCTTTTGTACTGAAGAGGGTTAGAAAATAAGATAAGTGTCCTAGAGCTAATAATTGCCTTGGAAAGTAAGCAAAATGCTTGAAGTCTTTTCTCATACCAAAATTCATTCCCCTTTTAAAGTTTGTTTTGTCAGTGTGATGTCTGTCAAAGAAATACAAATTACTAAAGAAAATGTGATAGCAAATGTTGTTTACAGTAATCTTACGATATTTATTAAACTTTTTGTACTTTCTATGATGAAATTAAAACTTATAGTAGTAAAAACTGAGTATAAAATGTTTTTTTACATGCGAGTTGTAACAGCTGTATAACCACAATGTTTAGAGTTTTGTTTAGGGGCAGTTGTCACTTGTCTTTTTCTTAAGTTCATTGTTGTACATTTCTCTGAAGTCTTATGTTATAAATATTTCTGATTATGATATTTTAGTTTTCTCTATCATTATTCAGAGAAATATCTCTTACAAATCAACTTATAATTTTGTGTTGAAATTTTCTGTTTAAATAAAATCTTACTGGGATAACATAAAGATAAGTTTAACTAAACACATTGAAATATGGTTCTGTCATAACACAGTGATCCGCACATGGTTTTTCTTTTCCTTAAAAATGTCTGTCTTTTCCATATTTTCCCATTTAAACTTTGGTTCATGTTTCATCATCCCATGTTACTGTATAGCTAACAAGAAATGAGAAAGAAAAATGGCTCATTTAATTATAACTGTTATTTCATGGCCAGCGTGTTCTGCTGTCCATTTGAACAATGTGACTTTACTACAGCTAACCTTTTGCTAGCAGTGGATAGACCAGTGTCCACAGGTGCCAGATAATTAATAAATATTTCTTTTTAATGGAGTAAAAGAGGCATAAACCTATTCTTTGCTAATGTTGTTTTTGGGGAAGTTCATTTGAAGTTGATGGGAATTTTGCTGAAGACTGAAGAGCTGGATCTGAAAAGTTTATGAAGAACGAGTATGAATTTGTCAGTTGACTCTTATTATTTAGTTAATATCCAAGAAAACAATTTGTTTGGATAAAAGGTTTGGAGGAATTGTTTTCATATGACCTTGTAATGCAAATCTAGCCATGCTTAAAATCCCTCCAAAGGAAATGGTGCCAGATGTGGTTGACCATTTATAGTTACCCAGATGGCTCTAACTCCACTGAAATACAGTAAATGTGAAAGAAATTCCACATGAGTTCAAGTAAAAGTAATCTTAAAATTCAAAGGAAGAAAATGTCAGAAGTGGACTCAATTCAAACTGACAGAAACATTAGCGTTATAGGCTTGGATAAAATCTGTCTTCTAAAATGTTTCTCATTTAAACATTTAAAATCTGAATTACTATTAGAGTAACTGTTAGTGGTTTTTCTGCCAGCATAGTCTTTTGAAAAACTGAAATAATGTGTAGCTACATCATGATGTGAGATAATTGTACCTAAAGATAACAAGTGCACGTGTAACTAGGTATCATGGTGATTAAAACTTTAAAACATGTTCGGAAGTGTGGCAACTAAGGGTATTTGGCATCTTGCTAAGATTTATTCTTTCCTTATGGGAGCTAATCAAACTCTGCAGACTGGTAAGTCTAAGCATTACAGAACACCCTGTGTCTCTTCTGAGCTGTGCAGCATTATGGAAATGAATGTGGGTTCAGTGCATTATATTTGCTGCACATTATCTCCAAAATTATAGCAGAGTGAAGTAAGTATTACTGTAGGACTTAGAAGCATTGCTTAAGGTCATGTGTGCTGTAAAAGACACTATCACACTGTAAGATGATATATGCCTAGAGAACTGTATAAATAGGTGAGATTAGGTACAGTGTGAGAAAAAGACAAAATAAAGAGAAATAGAACTGGTTTTATGAAGATCACAAATCAAGAATATAAACTCTTACCATATACTTTAGAGACCATAGTTCATGCTGTAATATTTCTTCTATAATCTTAAGGCCATTCTTCAAATATGTTAGATAGAAATGCACTTATATGTACTCAGTGCACTTTATGTAGTCACAGTCATCAAAACAGACAGTTCTCTCTCAGTCAGCATCTACAGTATGCAAAGGTATGTGGGCTGTCCTGTGATACTTCCTTCTTCTCTATGTTTCGCTGAGGTTTTTATTGCATAAATCTCTGGGAGAGATAAATTGATAGACAAATATCAGAAGATTTTTTTATTTAGTTGTAGTTATATTTTTTTTTTACTAGTGAGCTTCACCAATGTGAAAAGTTGAGGAACTTGCTCTGTTGTTTAAAAAACCCCTACAATTTCTGATTTTTTACGGAATGCAAAACTGAATAAACTGGTTTATGATTCGTTGAGATGAAGGACCATTTTCCAGACAATAAGAATGCAAGTATTGAATAGTAATACTATGAAGACCATAGCACTCATTGTCTAAATTACATGAAAGCACATTGCATTACTTACTCTTTTTACCCACTGTAAATTATATAATGTACTTAATTTTATTTCAGAGTTATACATTTTGTTGTGGTTTCAGCAGTTCTAATTCTGTGTCCATGCAATCCCTATTGCGCACAGATTGGTGATTTCCAAGTAAATAATGTGTTACAGGCAAAGAAGTTATTCTAATTTCTTGCCCACTTCTGTTTTTTATTTCTCAACGTAGGAGAAAGATTACTTTATATGTGCTTCTTAATCAGTATCAGAATTGTTGTTTTACAGTATGAGAAAACTGTTGTCACTTTGTGGTCAACATTTCTTTGAATAGGCAACTGACTTAGGCTCTGCATGTTTCACAGATTTAAAAGAAGTCAGGTGGGTGATCCTGGCTCTCTACATTAAGAGGTTTTGTATGTGGAAAGAATGGCTTTGTCAGTTGTCAGTTGCTGAGGTTTGGAATTGTGGATTACTCTGGGATATGCATCTGAATTCCTTTTCTAGTCCCACAAATGTTGCATGCTGCCAACTTTTCTGATTTTGGAGCTCTAAATTGAGGCCAGTTCCTTTG